GAGGCTTTGACATATTTGGGTCATCCTATTAAAGAGTTGTCAACTGCTGTGATTGGAGGTAAAACTCCATTGGAAGATAGGTCTGGTAGTGTCACTTTGGTTGAGGCTTCGATGAGGAAGCCAATTGACTCTCAGCAGGTGGAGAGTTTTGGACAGACCTTAGAGGTATCGCAGCGGGTGGAGACTGATGCTACTCCACATTGGGTGGGGATTTTCCCACATACTCCAGGTCATTCTGCATTGGTTGGGATTCCAGCTGAGGTGACACAGCGTGGAAGTCATTTGGATTCGGATGCAGATGATGAGTTATCGAGTGCAGCTGGCAGACATAGTTTGGATATGGCAATTGGTTCGCCTCAGGTGGAGGTGTTTGAGGCTATTGGAGGTGCTATCAGCCGCAGAGTTAATGATATTGGAGAAGGGTTGCGAACTCTTCTATTGGATTGAGGTCGTTAGCGGCCATTTGGGTGAACTACGTTCGGCTTGATTCCTTGGGCAAGAGGATACGTAGGCAGTCTTTACGATGCAGCCGGGGTTGGATTTTGATGTGGTGAGATCGATTTGGTGAGTTGATACTGACATTTGGAGAGTATTCACACTCTTGTTTGGGTCTCGACTTGTTATGGATTGAGTCCGTTGTCGTGAATTGTTTCACTTCGTCCTGGACGCAACAAGTGAGACATTTGTTTTGGTTGGTGTCGGCTCAGTTTTGAGAAAACTTCGCCGAGGTGGAGAATTGTGAACGCATTTTTTGTTGCGGGGTCACGTCCGTGTGAAAAGATGACACAAGCTTTCAAGAAGTTTGTGTAAATGAAGAGATGTGAGTCAGGGGCTAGGCTATATATAGGAACAGTTTTGTTCCTAGGTTTTGGGTGCAAGGGCTTGGTGAAAATCTGCAGCAAAGAAATTAAGGCGGCTGTGCAAGAAAAAAAAAGGTCAGCAGAGTTCTTTCTTTGGTTGGCGTGCAAGTGCGAAGCAGAGCAGGGGGAAAATTCGTGGCGGGTGCAAAAGTGTTGGCAGCGTTCTTTTTGGGTAGCGTGCAAAGAGTCCTTTTGTGCTTTTAAGAGAGATAATTGTGTGAGTGTTTAGATTGAGTGATTGTAAACCCTAGTTGTATTATCTCTCCCTCTAATAGTAGATCTCCCCCTCCTTGCCCCGTGGACGTAGGCAGTTTGCCGAACCACGTAAAATTGGTTGTTTGAGTTTGTGGCCATTGTAATAGTTTTTTAGGATCCCTCGACAAGTCAGTCCTAGAACTGATGAGAGGAAGAGCCGATATCTCACTTTGTTGAGATATTCGCTTCAGATTCTTGTCTCTTTGGTGAGACGGGAATTCTTATTATCGATCTTTCTCTCTTATTATGCACCAGAAACTCTGCCGAAATTTCCGCTGCGCACAACAGTATACGGAGAGGCACACCCAAAAGAGTGCAGACAACGTAAAGTTTAAAGTTGGGCAAAACGTTCATCATGAATTTGGAGAAATTAAAACCTTTCTTTAGTTATGTGCTTGTTAATCAGCCTACATTACATGTATGCTTTTCTCTGTCTTATTTAGATCTGCTCCCCACCCAATTCTCATCTCTAAGAAACACTTCACTCATGGTGTTCACGTCAATTCAATCACACTTTCAACTCTTAAGACCCCTAATAATGGTAAAACTCCCAAACTAAACCTCTTCTACCCCTCTGATTAACGCAGACTTGTTCGCATGCAGACAATTCTAAACTTGGGCTTAAAAACAGAGGGTAAATTTAACATAACCCCTTCAATGTTTGGTTGTTTTTTTATTATATAAAACCCCTCTGAACTTTGACGTGGTTTGCACATAACTCCATGACCTTCTTTGAAGATTTTTCACATAAATCCTCAAATAATTTGGTCAAGTCTAGTCGTTCATGTGACACGAACGTGAATAAAGAAGGAGAAAATATCTCTTAGTTAATAAAATGGATAAAAGGGCGATTTCCTGATCAAGGTCCGCTCTCTCTTTTGTTCACGTGTTTGACACGTGACACATTAGCTTTGGTTTAGGGGGTTAAAGTAAAATATCTTCAGAGAAGATCCGAAGAAGTTCAGGAGAGTTATGTGCAAAACCCCATAAAGTTTAGGGGGTTTTGTGGACATAAATAGTTGAGAGGGGCTATCTCATAATCTGGCTAAGTACATAGGGGCTTTATGAAATTTACCCTAAAACAGAACTGTGATAATTTCTCGTGTCTGACGTGTCACCATCCCATTCGCTCAAACCAACACCAACGGCCCGATCAAGTCCTCCCTTCACAACCGTCCGATCAGTCAATCCAACGGTTACAGTGGAAACCCTAATTTCCCCCCTCGCGATCTCAACTCTCTATCGATATAAAACCCCAAAAACACCGCCAAAACCCCTCTTCCATCTCTCCTGGCTCTCTCTCCATCGTCTGCAATTAGAGCGAGGTTTTGATCGTTTCAAAGGTGAGTTCTTCAAGTTCTCTTTACTTCATTCGTGTTTTTGCTATAGATCTTATAATTATCTTCAATTTTAGCTTAATTTCATGTTAATTAGGTTATGATCTCACTTACTGCTTTTTTTTTTTTTTACGGTGGCTCTATTATTTATCTGATGGTTGTTTGGTAGACGTTCATATTATCCTTTAAAAAAAGTTAATGTGATTAGATGGTGTCGTGATTTCTAATGTACAAACCTAAAGATATGATTTTTATATGTCTCGGGCTTCTGTGAAAATTAAAGAGCTTGAGGACATGTGATCCTAGTTTTTATTATTTTTTATGGTCTCTGAATATTTCAAGAATGATAAGCTCTTCAAAGTTCATAACTTTAATAAAGCTTTAGTTTTCTACCGACGATATTGATGAATACTGCATGTTGCTGGAAATGTGTTGTTCTGAAAAGTTAGCCGTGTTATAAAATATGAGCCTGTCGTACATTCAGATTTACAGTTACGGTGATAATAATTCTCTCTCCAGTCATCAAAAATTATCTTTCTGGGCTGGATTCTGTTATTGACATTAACTTGGGCAATTTACCAGTTTATGAAAGGGGTTACTTGGGACATTTTAAACTTGTGCTTTGTTTGGGAGTTTAGTAAGGGAAGGGACGGAAAGTGAAATAATGGATAGGGAAGGTAGGGAATGGAAGTGAAAAGATAAAATGTTGTTTGGGAGTTTAGTAAGGTGAACGAAAGTAAATTTATTTTAGCTTGTTTGGGAGTTTAGTAAGGAGAATGAAAGTAAATTTATTTTAGCTTGTTTGGGAATTCTAATAAAGAGAAGGGAAGGGAAGTGAATATGTATAAAGTTACGTAAATACCCTTACATATTGGATGGGAGTATATCTTAGCCATTAATTTTAATGTCATAAGGGTGTAATTGTCTTGTCATATTGTAAAACTTTACATCGGTTTCCATTCCATCCTCTACCCCCAAATTGGAGGGGATGAATATGGAAGGAAATTTAACATTCCATTTCATCCTCTTTAACCCCTTAAAAAAACTCCCAAGCAAGGTGAATTTCACTTTAACTTCCATCCATTAACCTCCTTCCAAACAAGGTGTTGGAGTCACATCTTTGTTTTTGTCTTTGTTGTCGTTTCTTCGTTGTAATCTGACTTTTTTTTGCAGTTGTAGTGTCTTAGTTTCTCTTCGTTACTGACACTCACATTTTGGTTTTATATTTCTGTTCATACTGCCATGTAGCTTTTGCAAATTGCCATTAGAGTCAGGACAATGGTGCCTTTTTTTTGCACATTTATTTTTATATGAAACTAATGTATCCATCGAGGGGAAATGTTGGGTATATTGAAGGGAAATAAGAGATTGGTGAGGTATATTGAGAGGTGAAGTTGAAATAGGGAGAAAGGTGCTGCTGATTCTCCATTTTGGCTCTTCGTTAGGCATGCTTACTTTTTTAAGATTCAAAGAGGGATGCTATCTTCTTTATCTTAGTATCAACAAACCCCTACATTGTGAATTTAATTGTTTGTTGCCATCAAAGAAGAAAACCATGTCTTTCCAAACCTCAAGAAGAGACAGATAACTGCTAGGCATAGAGATTATTATTTCAATTAAAAATGAGGTAGAAACTAGCCTGAATCAAGTTGTGTGTTCCTTGGCTATGCCTTATCACATTAATCTTGTTAGTATAACTGAGATCTATCATCATCTGACAATAATGATAATGAAGAAGATACATATGTTATTGATAGAATTGAAATGGCCAGTGTTATGGCTTCGTCGACGAATCCATTATTGACTTTATTTTTTACAAGTAATACCTGAGCTTATGTACATGCATGTTGGAAAAGACGGAACCGGAGGTTATAAACCCCGGAACAAGTGTACCCATTTTCTAGAAAGTTTCTAGTGTGGGCGACCAATGGCAATATATGTGCACCCAAGGGGTATCAACCCTTGTATCAGCGCACGAATCATGATGTTCAATAATCCAAAGGTTGATATCCCTTGGGCGCACATTTATTGCCATGGGCCGTCGCCACTGGATACTTTCTCCTTTTTCTATGTGCATTCAGAAAGTTTTATGTTAATTTATTAATGCTTTTACTGATCATTAATATTATCAAAAATAGTTGAAATATTCCTATGTGTACCTATGTAGATTCTTGTGCAGGGGGAAAAACTTATACCATATTACCATTAAGCTGATCAACTTTGTCATGTTATATGAACTTGAGTAGGACTGGTAATAAATGTGGTTCTTATAATATATTGCCAAATGCCAATTAGTGGATATCTAGTGCAGGTTCCTTGTTTAATAAGCCTGTATGCGACAATCAAGTTATACCTAAGAACTCTGTTCTTTATCAGTTTTAACATATTATTTTTGTGCATATTGATTTAACTGTTGAAGTTTCTATTAACTATTACTTTTAACAATCCTGGTAAAAAAGTTGTTTATATGAACACTACGTATGTTCTTCCATCTCTACTAGAATTTGATGCTTGGACATTCAACTTGTATGTTTTTTTGTATCTGCAGCATGGATACTCAAGTAAAGCATGCAGTGGTTGTTAAGGTGATGGGGCGAACAGGATCAAGGGGTCAAGTGACCCAAGTTAGGGTCAAGTTCTTAGATGATCAGAACCGTCTCATTATGCGAAATGTTAAGGGCCCGGTCAGAGAGGGCGATATCCTTACCCTTCTTGAGTCCGAAAGAGAAGCTAGGAGGCTTCGCTGATTCCTCCTTCGCTGGCTTTATGCCTTTTGGTTTTTGCCTCTTAGTTGCTTCCTGTTTTCTGTTATTTTGGATATGCCTATGTTTTGTATGACATGATTAAAAGCTAAATTGTATTTGTCCTAGAACTTGCTAAAAGTTGGGATTTGATAACTTACTGTGTTCTATCTTTTTATTGGTGCTGGATTTTTTTTTATGCTAAAGGTTAGGTGCGTGTGGCGTTCTTCTTTCTTTTGCTAAAGCTATGTTATCTATATTCAAGTTATTGTTTCGTATTCTATTTGTTTAACAATTATTCTCGTATTTTAAAAAAACTGAAATAATACAGCTTCTTACAGTCTAGCGAGTATTTGAGCTTATTGTGACCTTCTCTGAGTTTTTTCTAGCAACTGTACCTTAATACAGTTTCTTATATTTTTAGCTTCCAGTTGCCTTTCTAGGATATAGTTTCGACCAAGTTTATCTGATTGCTTCTTTTAAGTTATTGAAATTGTTCAAGAAATGATTTTTTTTTACCTCTTGGTAACTCTGTTTCCGATGCGAATAAGTTTTTGGTAATGATAACAGGATTTTCTAATCAGCCAGTTGTGATGAAGGTTATCCTCCCCTGTTTTTAAGACGAGCTTGTTATGTTGCTCCATCATGAATCAAACACAAATGATGTTTGAGGGTGCATACTTGGCCAACTTGATGAAACCTTTGAAAGGCAAGAGGATGTTTTGATGATGCATGCGCTTTATGTTGATGAAGGCGGGATCGACCTTTTGAAAGTCAAAAATGATGTTTGATGATACTTGCGGATATTGATGGTGCAGTACTTGGATTCGGATTGCAGTGAGACAATTAAAATAGATATACGTGCCAAGGTGAAATGAGAACTTGGAAAATTCTTGTAGAACTTGCTTTATAACTTCTAGCGGTATACGGTACCCCATGCATACGGAAGCAATTCTCTGTTGTTACCCAACTGAATATATGGGAAAATGATAGAGGCACACCCCCAACCACAACTCCAACCACACTCCCTCTCTCATTTGCTACAGTGCACCAGGTCTCATATGGGATTTTAAATTTTTAAAATCCTATGTGGAGCCCGGTACATTGTAGCAAATGAGAGGGGGTGTGGTTGGAGTTGTGGTTGGGGGTGTGCCCCTAGTGTCACCCGAATATGTGATACACAGATAGATAGATACCTCTAGTTTCTAAACATGTCTTTTACTGTTGCTCTCTAGTTTCTAAAAATGTCGTTTAACGCGGTTCTCGCGTAATATCCTTCACTGAGAGTCTGATATCTATCCTGCCTCCGCACCATCCTCAAAGCCTTATCTTTTGTCTCGGCTCCCTCGCTCCCTCGCACCTAAACAGATTGCGAAGTAGCCACGAGGTCCGCTTAGAATGCGACTTGTTTTTCCTAAGGGACTCGTTTTCGCTACCTTCTTTTCGAGGAATGCATTCTTCTTTTACTTCATGATCCTTCTCCTCTTGCTCCGGATGTTTCTTCCACAAGTCGGTGTTCATGATTGATGCACTTATAGCGGAATCATCAGACACATCTGGACTGGAGAGAGATGGCGGTGGTGGCGGTGGCAAGGCCTCTGATGACTCTTGATTGGGGTCGGAAGAGATGTTACTATCTATTTCGACATGCTGAGGTTTTGGGGAGGTTTTTGATGCGGGAGTATGATTTTGTCCTTCGTCGCTTGAGAAAATCTCTGCCGAGGAAAAGGATGAAAACATGTTTTAATTATATTTTAGATTGAATTTAGGGAATTTTGAGGACAACTCACCTGAAGAGACATCAGTTTTTGAAGAAATCTCAGAACCCTTCAGAACATATTCATTATCGGATATAGGGGTGATGAGTTCATCATCCGCGAGATCTTGCCACACATAGCCCGATTTATATCGCCTACATTTAAAAGTTCACAATCACGATTTCTCTAAATGAAAGAAATTATCCAAGTACTGTTTTCCTTCAAACGTTTACTCATTTTCTCTAGATTTTTAGACACAAAGCGGATACTAGAGATATCTGAAGTTCATCAAACCTCTTATATGACCATGAAAATGAATCCGGCATATCTTTTCCCCTTAGATCAGCTAGCCATCTCTTCACATCTATTCGTATCACACGTAACTCGCCATGTTAATCCCTTTAAAAACATCGAAAAATAGAAGGAAAATTTTTTCGCAGAATTATGTTGAAACCTCGAAGATAAACGCCGTTGCGATGGAGGTGATGAACACGGATGAGATGAGGCTGCTCAATGGCGCCATTTCGACTGAGAACGTAGAGAATATGCACTCTCCTCACCTCTCCTCCTCCTCCTCCATTGAATCCTTCCATTTTTTTTTTCACAAGAACAATAACAGTAGTTTCTCTTGCTTACTCCCAACATGATAAGTACGTTATATGAAACAAATGCAGGCCGGCATATCAAAGAAGAAGACAAAAAGAAAATGAAAAAGAAAATTTGCAGGCCAGACTCTTCGGAATAAATTACTTGAGTTGTAATTAATATCGAAACCGAAGGATTAAGAAGAGGAGTTCTATCCATCTGTATCTTGCTTATTTTAGAGAGAAAGTGATGAGAGTAAAATGTGTGAGAAACTATTACGCAGCAACATAAGAAAGAGCCACTAGAGACAAGGTGCTGAAGGGAGTAGTGGGTGCAAAGGATACTAATAAGTTGAATTTGTCGGATTTTTTTTTAATTTGCTAATGTAGTCTTGGAGTTTAAGTTTGATTTCACTTTGGCTGTATAATATTGGTTAGGTAGTAAGAAAAAATAAATGAAAACTTTAGGACAATAAATTCTAGTTTGAATCCTAGCCCTTCTTAACTCCCTGAGCCTGAATCACTCTTTTGAACAAGTATTGTTGTGCAGACGGCGGCGCCGAGGAACCAAAACAAACGCCGATCCAAGAAGGCTAAAAACAACCAAATATCAATGCACAAACCAAACACCAATTTTAACGTGGTTCGGCAATTGCCTACGTCCACGGGGCAAGAAGGGGGAGGGTTTCCACTAATAGAGAAGGAGAGTACAAATTAAGATTACAAGTCGCTCAAACGAACCAACTAATCTCACCAACAAATCTCTCAACCTCTCAACCAATAACCCTAACAAATAGCTCAGAAAGATCTCTCTTTTTGTGCTCCAAAATCCCCCAAAACGCTCCTACAAAACCCTCAAATCGTATTGGTATTTATACCAAAACAGAAACCCAAACAGACTGCAAATAGGAACCTGAACTTTCCAAAAAACCCGTCGTAAGTCGACTTATCAGTCTGCATAAGTCGACTTGGCAGAGCGAAAAACGACAACTGGAGAAGAGATTATAAGTCGACTTATCAGACCTGATAAGTCGACTTGCCAGAGCCCAAAATCAACAATCCAGAGCAGATCGTAAGTTGACTTACGACACAAACATAAGTCGACTTACCATAAGTCGACTTATGCCTGTGCATGAGTCGACTTATGACCAAAAAACTGCTTTTTCCAAGTTCTCCTCCACAAGTATGACTTCATTGTCACAAATTAGAACATTGGTATTGGCTAGTTAGTAGGGGTGCAAAAAAAGTATCCATATCTGAGAAAATATTTGTACCTATATTTGTTAGGGTACATATATGGTTATTAAATCTGTGTCTGATAGGATATGGCTACGAATACTGCTGTTAAATATCCAAATCCATATCTGAATATATGTTGGTTAGACTGTTGAAATACTTGTAATCCTTGGATTAATAGATTTGAGGTTATTGATGATCAATAGATCTAATCTTAGCTTATCAAATACAACAAACATATTAATAAACTCTCTTATATCAATTGATTTCTATTTTTTCAAGTATCTGGTGTTCTCGTATTTGTTTTGTATCCACATGTATATCCCTTACACATTTGCACCCGGTTTTAGCGGATACTGATATGAATTTTACTTATAGAGACATAGCCGTGTCCGTATCCGTATCCATGATTGGTAAGCGGATAAGAAGATAATCAGTATCATAGCCAAACAGTTTGCACCCTACTTGTTCAAATTGCCTCAAAAGCTTATGTTCAGCACACAATACTGTAGTGATACAAAACTGAATTTAACGGGTGGTACTAGGGGCACACCCCCAACCACATCCCAAACCGCACCCCCTCTCTCATATGCTACAGTGCACCGGGCTCCACATAAGAATTTAAAATTTTAAAATCCAATGTGAAACCCGGTGCACTGTAGCATATGAGAGAGGAGGTGTGGTTTGGGATGTGGTTGGAGGTGTGACCCTATCATTTTCCGAATTTAACTAATGAAATAATTGTGTTGCACTTATTCCTACTTTTACATTCAAAAAGAGTTCATAACTGTTCCAAAGGCGTTGAGATTACAATTCAGATATCCTAAAGAGAATATTTGATGGCCAAAATCCTTTACAACAATTTGAATTTCCGACGGTATTTAATTAGGTCTGGATACTATTAGCCAATAGGAGTTTGTGGAAAGTGGATAATTTGAATAGTAATGAACAAAGAATATGGATTGAACACATAATCAGCTCAGGATATGAAGACAATTAAACAATCAACATCAAAACAAATATATAATAGAAAAATTAATTTGGCTGTTTGTTTTAACTAGCGTTTAAACTAAATTATTGGATGTTCAAATATACGAGGACTTCAACTTTGATCAAGCTGATATGAAAAGCTTTGACGCTAAACTAATAAATAAGCCCTATTGCCACCCTGAACCTTCTCAGTATAGGAAGTTTACAATAAAATGACTCAAATATAAACACTCAATAAGAGAATAACCCCAATTATGAGATAAATAGTTTTTTTACATGCACGTAGCAGCAAGACATAATTCTTATACAAATTGTAAAAAATACCAAACCTGACATTTGCAGGTTCAAATATAAGCTTACATCATTCTCAAATCACACATTATATTGTTACCATGTAATAATATATGAACGAGTTTGCCCGTTAATTTCCCAAAAAAGAATAAAATATAATATTTTAATTATTCTCGACCTCGTGCAGAACTTGGATCCATCAATTGAGAAGGGGTCTGTAACACTTCAAATTTGCGGGTTGCTGATATTTGTGCATAGCAAGAGCAACTGCATTTTGACTTGTTTTCAAATAGCTTTCATCTGATTAGTCCCATACTACAATTAATCTTTAGGGTTCTGATTCTTCAGCATCTCCTCTCCTGCGCTTTTTGAGCTTTTTCGAGCTTCTACTTTTTCATCATACCCATCATCACTCATTTTCATTCTTGCAATTAATCTTTAGGGTTCTGATTCTTCAGCATCTCCTCTCCTGCGCTTTTTGAGCTTTTTTCGAGCTTCTGCTTTTTCATCATACCCATCATCACTCATTTTCATTCTTGCAACCCGTCTCGCCTTGAACACCTGAAAATTTATCAGCAATTGAATCAACTGAGTCACAACTTTAGCAAAAAGGTGAAGTGCATTTATTTCAGGTTGCAAAGGTGATAAAGATTTTATAGTTACCAGTTAGTCAAATGTAGTTCAATAAATTCCATCAGGTTATCGATCAATAAATAACTGTCCCTTATTCTCTCCATGTTGAGAAGAAATGCAATGAACATAGTTTTTTTTCTTGTGGTCCTTGTATGTTTCTGAAAGGCATCACACAATCTCTCCAGTTCAGTGGGACGAAAGATATGCGCATAATCCAATCTAGTGAAAAGGTCTTAACTTTTGTTGTGGCCCTCGTGGAGAGAGCTATATTATACATTCTCTTCGAACTGTTTATAAACCAACAAATAATAAACAATAATTCGATTTGCAGGCTACTGCAGAATGCTTCATTGATTATCCACTCCAAACTGCAGGAACAGATGCCTTTTGTACCGTCTTTCATGGGAATCCTCTTGTTATATGTAACACTTACCTACATTTTTTGCAAATACAAAAATTACATCAAATATTCCTCTTTCATGGAAGCTTGTCAACAAGTACTAACCACACTTGGTATAAGCCCATTCTGATAGCACTTGATCCTCAAAACACGTCTTTCAAGGAGCTTATGGACTTCCTTGACTTGAACTTGAGCACATCAACACACTATCTGATGTTTGTCATGCTATTTCAATGCTTATTTTGCTGCCTCCTACTTGATGCTATATTTGTACTGTTTTTATTAATATCTCCTTTACAATAAGTTGATGACATAGAGTTACATATCCACCTCTTTGATCATAAGTGGGCACATAGACAAGGCCCAGACCACAGAATAATTACCTCTCGGTTCACCTGATAAGGCCTGACCTCTAAAGCCCACAAGAGAAACTCTACCAGCTGATAGCTGCCACCTAACAAAGAAGCTACTTTCCCATTTATAGCTGGTAAAAAGTTCTAAAGAATCCTACCTTTTCTTGTTGCCTACAAACAGCACATTTCTAACAACCCCAGGCACACCTAATTTTAGTGGAGTTGATGTTGCAACTGACAGAAGCATCTTATCGTTTTAGGTTAGAAGTTATCCCAACCACCTTACTGAATATTGCAAGATCTTGGACTTGGGGCATACTAATATTACAATATATAGCATCAATCAATCTACCGATGCATATACAAACTGTGTATGACTGTTGCACATGAGTAAAGTAATTCAGAAGGAAAAGGAGGGAAATAAAAAAGGGGATCAAGAAAATAAATACAGGAAGATCATGAAAAAGAAGAAAAATATTGCAAAACTATCAATATTTAGAAAACTTAAATACATGCAAACCAAATGAGAACTGATTTGAGGAAGCATTATTAATTGCTAGTTAATTAACAATTTAGTGCAAGTCCTCAAACAAATATAACGTCAAAGCAGTTAAATTGATAAGTTATTAAGCAAACAACAATATATATAATCGTTTTGGAAAGGGAAAAAAACCTGGAAAAGTCTTCTGCAGTGAAAGAATCGAAGAAACAACATTTCTAACCAACAACAAATGCAACCTCATAGATCTAGCAGATGAATTTAAAATAAATAAATAAATAAATAGCAGAAGTCATGAGGTAGTTCTGTGAAGAATAGGGGAAAATAGCAGAAGCCATGAGCGAGTTGTATCAAAAGGTCGTTTAACTATGACAAAATAATATGTTTGAATGAGCTACCTTGGTAATATCTTCAAGCACCTTCTTCTCATTACATTCATAAGCATCCAATTTCTTTTTAACTTCGGCTTCAATAGCATGAATAAGATCTATATCATTCTGCAAGTAATTCAAGTCCAATTTAGCACCATGTCTGAGAGCAAAGGCGGATAAGAAGAAAATACTATGAAACTTACAGGATGAACAAATTAGCAATAGCCCAACAAACTGTCACCTTAAGCTCACGGATATCACAATAACTTAGGAACCATCACACTAGGTTCCAAGAGAGCTTGCTCAAACTTCATTTTTAACACTTATTTTTGTACTACTGTCAACTTTTTCCCTATCCACGCAAGTCATCTTCTGCTGAAGACCAGATAGCTTGAAAGCCTAATGATGAATAGTAGTATGCTGGTTTGATATGCATTTTTGGTCCACCACCCATAATCTTAATCTAGAGATTGTATTGATTAGCTGGGGAAAAACATAAAACAACTAACCCAAAATCAATATCTTGATTGTTTAATCATTCGTGTTTCGTGTTATTCTGTACAATGTCCTTGACCGTACTCACTTGTCATAAAATAACATTACACAGTTAACAAACTGGTAATTGGATCGATAATCAAACTATGCGTGTAGGCAAAACAAATTGTTTAGTACCCCAACATGAAATTGTATCAAAAAGATTGACCAACAACTTTTATAAACGAACAGAAGGTAATGCAACTGCTAATGTCAAGTGTACAGAATTTTAACTTGAACCTTTAGTTTCATGGCACAGCAACCAGACTAGAAGACATACATGAGGTTACAGGACAGGACATGTTAATTAAAAGATCACATAGTACTTCTGCGGAAGATTTAAGACTCTGAAATAATATGCTTCTCTGGCTATACCACATATTGATGGAAAATTTTTGGTGAAATAAGATGTTAGCTTCCACTGTTTAGATATGGCATATTGAATGGATTAAGTTAAGCTGAAATTAAGCGGTTCTAAAAGTTAAACCAAGCCCAGCCCATATATCATACATTAAACTGTGTCAACCTGTTGATGCATCCAATTGTATCAAACAATGAGACTAAGTGAAAAAGAGTCGAGTTCAGTTTTGTTCAAGCTTCTAATGGAATTGATTCTCTTCTGCTCCATCTACAACTCCATTATTCTATAGTAAGCTCACAGCCTCATTACTTTTATCGGAATAATTTTGTTCAATTTTGCGCCCCATCATTTTTATCATACATGAGGTTAGAACAGCTCAGCTACCCTCATCTGGCATCTTCTTGCTTCCCATTATCACATTATGATTTTTAATGTCAAAAATATCATCATGGACAGATCACTTTTGTGGCATAAAAAATATTACAAGCATTCCAACAGGATATCATAAGAAACAGTACAATCCAATCATTGTGGAATTTGGGCTTCTCTATCTCATTGTTGGATAGGAGCTTGACCCTAAATGGCTTCTTTGGTCTCCTTTCCTTTCTCTACCTTTTCCTATTACTCCTTCCAATTGATCACAACTCTTCCTTTTCACTAATTTCCTTACTTCCTTCATTTCTCTCTTCTTAATATCTTTGTGTGCAAGCAACCAGAAACATCAAGCCATTGACTATCTACAAGGAGGAAATGAATTGTACCTAATAATGGCAAACAAGAACAAGAAATAGCAACCATTCTCGAGTTTCATGAACTAGAACATCAGTTTGATTTTCTAAAGTTGGATTTGAACAGTAACCAAAAGAAGAGGAAAAAATAGAAACAAAGTGCTGTATAAACCACCAGAAAGCAAACATGCCTGTATTATTATTTTTAAGCAACGACTTTGTAATTTCTCAAATATTAACACGCACGCACACTCACTCACTCACTCACTCATAAGACATATATACATGCATACATATATGTGCATATACATGCATACATATACATATGTATGCATGCATGTAGAGCTAGAAGCTGAATAAGCAGTTTTAGTCCGTGAAATTCATAATTGTTCTATAGCTGTCAAACTATATCTGAAATTTCAGGTAGAAACTGCAAAAGAAATCAGGGCAATCACAATTTACAACCTCAAGAATAAGCTTAAGTACATCTCTTATACAGAATTGTTAAACATAGTTTATATGAGAAAATACAACATCTCTGTAGTGACAGACCTGTGTGATGAAGCTGATAGAAAGGCCCCCTCTGCCAGCTCTTGCAGTACGGCCCACCCGATGGAGGTAGTCTGGTGGATCCCTGCATAGAGTAAAACAAGTGTCTATCATCCCTGCATAGTCATCCAAAATGGTAAATAATGTCCCAACATTTGATGAGCTTAACCTTGGGATATCATAATTGATAACAAGATCGACAGTTGGAATATCTAAACCACGGCTGGCTAAGTCAGTTGCCAGCAGAACAGGAACCTGGCCAGATTTAAATCGACTCAGTGCAGAAAGCCTTTCAGACTGATTATTGTCAGAATGTAAAGCAACTACTTTCTGATCAAGCTGTTCCAGTAACAAGCTCAGAAGATGGCAACTCCTGCATGAACATTTAAAGAAGCAAAAGTGAGAAGTACGATCTCATACAGGGGCACTTACAGAAGAAAAGATGAAAACTCACATACCAACAAAAGCTAACACTGAAAATGATGTTATTTTACTTTTGCTTATAGAACTAAAGCATAAATTGAAAACCACAAGCATAATGTCACAAATAACTAAGAAAGGAAATCTCATACTCAGAAGATCACCCTCTGCTCACCACACTATTGGCTCTATGGCCCCTCCCTCCACCATAATATTCCCGGTAATCAAAATGTTCTCCATATTCTTAAACAAACAAGTACATAAACACCACATATTCAACATTCCATCATTTCCCAGTATGTCATCTACCATACTCCGCAACCACATCCTTAACCTTGTTTTTAAGAGAGGGGTTTCAGTCAGATACCCAGTATGGAGTTTGTTCTGACTCGTAGCAGTTATTTAAGCCATGTGTCCTATATGTCTTTACCAAATTCATAGGAGCAGCCAAAAGCTTAATGGCATCGGGAACAATACAACTGCTAGCAGTGTTTTCAATGCGCGAGGCGCAAAGCATCTTTACGCGCACATGCGCAAGGCGTAACGCGATGCGCGCGCCCGAGTGATGCGAGGCGCACACCACACACATAATATTTTAATATATGTAATCAAGCACGAAAGAACATATTTTTAGAATTTACATAAAAAATATCATGATAAATAATATCTTGCTACAAAATCACAATATATTGCCTTAATTTCTAATGCTAACACCCAACATAGTAGCAAATTTCATAAATTTTCAAATCAAATGTTAAATCAAAACTTATATCCAAACTAAGGATTAATAATGGTCCTCAATTGAAGGTTATTAAAAAAGCACAATGGATTTATTTTGTTTTTTGGGATATGGAATATCAAGTATAAAGACTCGATTATAATGTTAACAAAAAAAACTATGTGAGGAAATGCACTACATGCATCCTACACAAAGTACGGATGTACGCGAGGCGCAAAAGGCGCTGCTGCATCAGATGTGGGGCGCATCGTCACCGCCCCGCATCGTAAGGCGCATGAGGCGCAATGAGGCGCGCGCATTTGAAAACACTGACTGCTAGCAGTAAGATTAATCTCCAATGCGAAGTTTAGCAGAGCTAAAGGCCCTCTCCTAAGGTAGGTATCTTCCTCCAAATTATTGCCGAGGTGTGTTCGTAAATTTCTAATGGCTTCCATAGAATAAGAGTTGTTAACATGTACACAAACTAGCTTTCTTTTAGAAAGCTTGAATGTTACATCTCACGCGTGCCGTCATGGTGCGGGGTAGGGGCAGCGTGGGGCCGCCGGCGCGGGGCCATCAGGGCGCGGGGCGGGGGGCCAGGCGGCGGGCGGCGCGCGCGGGGCGGTGGGGACCTGTCGTGTGTGTCGGCGGCGGGTGGGGGGTTTAAAACCAGTATCATCGTTCACAGTTCATTGAACCCAATCCAAACGAAAAAGTCATGGTTTCAGTTTATATGTTTTACAAGTGCAATAGGTTTGGGTCAAACTCTAGATTTATTTTCTTGCTTCAGATTGTGGTATCATATGTTTACCTGCTTAGAACTGACTGAAATTGAAAGTTGAAATACATTCACACAACCCAGACCCGCACAATTTCATGTTAAGATCAGTTATTTATCCTCCCTCCAAGAGTAGGATAGGCCACATACCTCAGAAGAATTTCAGGCTTCGTCTCATCTCATACTTGATGTCCTCTCAAATCCCATGTTTCTATCACATCACTCCTCAACCCTCTCCAAATGCACTTAATGCATTTCTATGTCAACAAACAGATTTAATTATTCCAGAGATGGGGGGGATAAGATTATACAAAATCACACTCTAAATTATTGCGGCTTTGCAAGTTGCCCCTCATGATTAAAAAATATCCGCACCCCATCTAAGTTCAAAGTTGGGAATTTAGCTCATTTGTAAAGAAAATTGTTGTATAATATTACATTTTAATTTTTGGGTAAACAGACACTTGTTGTTCGGCCCCCAAGAAAGTTTTTCTGGATCCACCACTGGTCGTGATGATTGTAGTGAGCCAAATTTAGTAATCCAACGGAACCATAAACAACATCTTGGCCTGCCCAAACTAACCAACCAAAATCGACAAATCTGAAATACCCATGAGTAAATTTGGGAAGACTAATATCCTATCGATCATGTATGGAAGTAATTCACTACATATAGACTAATTCAAATAAAAATCCCAGTCACCTATAGGACTTAGGAGGTTGTTTAATTGTGAAAGTCACCTAACACTCCATTGTTGAAGAAAGCCCAGCTGTGCATGTTCCATCCATTTATTTGACATGGTTCAAACTCAGCTCCCATCATAAAGAAACTATCTGGCAGACCTTGTCTGCTAGGCAATCACTGGACCATACCATTGAATTAATACACTCATCGCCAATTAAATCTATTCTTCAATGATGCAAGGCTAGCCAACCCTTGGATCACTAAACATCCAGTGGATAAGGTCCATTCCATCCCCAACCATCCAACGATCTAGACAGTCAAAAAACAACCATTGTTACCTCGTTAATTATTGTTTAAACGGAAACCTTGAAGTATCTAATGGATTTATAGGAGAAAGGTGCTCACCAAGATTGTCTCAAAATCATCCATTGGATGGAGGGTAGAGAGGGGGAGGGGAAGAGAAATGTGGCTTTCATCTTGTTTGGGAGTTTTTTTAAGGAGGGTAGGGAGGAGGAAGGAAGGGGAAAGGAGGGTAAAATTGCTTGGTTTTCTTTCCCTCCACGATTTGGGCGGTAGAGGAGGGTAAAGGAGGGTAAAGGGGTGTAATGACATTCTTACCCCCATCAAAACAAATAAAAGGGCTGATGTGTTATTAGTATAAAGTCATTTATGTAAATTTACATATATTTACTTCTTTTCACCTTCATTCACCTTACTCAACTCCCAAACAACATATTACAATTCTCTTCCATTCCCTTCCCTTCCCTTCCCGTTGTTTACCTTTCCTTCCCTTCCCTTAGTAAACTCCCAAACACACCACTAAGTCCACCCACTGACACCACTAAGTCAGCGAAAACCGCAAACAATGTACTTCAAGGTTGAAGTTGTTGGTATGCCACAATATAATCACCACGAGAGAGGTCATGTTTCAAACGCACATCACATGGCAAGTTGATCAAAAAAATCTACTCATCACCCCTATGAGGATTAGAGTCTAAAGTCTACATCAAGGTTTCCCTAACCAAATAATGGGTAAGTCACTAGTCAGTACCTCAATAGGTTATGTTGTTAGATGACAAACCAGAAATTGAAAAGAAGCAGATGATGAGTGTTAGACTATTGGTTCACAAACAAGTTTTGGTGAGGGGAGCACAGAAACCCCATATATTTTAAAAACTCACATGTTAGCTAGGTTGTAGCAAGTGTCTTCCATGTTTGTATTGAATGGTTATGTTGATTAGATAGCTAAGCATCCTCCTTCGAATTTCTGAACATTCCAGGCCTATCCATATATTGAAGGAATGGTACACGGATAGCAAAATTTAGATTTGGCTTCTTTTCTGGGAACTCTCCACACACACAAACACACACACACACACACACACACACACCAAACAAAATAATAAATAAAAAACTCCTGTTCCACCTCATATTTTGCAGCCATAAATAATCACGGGTGCCACTCATTGCAATATTAGCATTTCTTGCATAAAGAAAATCATAAGAGTGAAGATGCTCTTATGGAAACATGCTATTCCATCATAATTCATGACAGCCCTCATCATATCTTAATGCCTAAAACATCCATTTGTTGTATACACCAACCACATTCTACTGAAACATAAACTAAAAAATTTCAAGAACATACACAATGTATGAAAAATATGTAAGTTAGAGCCCCAAAGGATATTTAGCATTATAATAGAGGATGAGTTAAGGAACTAAGGGACTAGACATCGAGCATAATGATTCAAAAAAACTTGTATGATCCAATATTATGATAATATAAAAGAACATCAATGTCAATTTATTTCGAGACGTAAAACATACTTGCGTGTAGCAACAAACACTATGGCTGAACGGATACTATCTTCCTCCATTGTTGACAAAATGTGATAAAGATAGACTTCCTTCACATTATTTGGTATGAAAATGTATTGTTGTTTAAGGGACTCAACTGTGCTCAACCCTTGATATTCCTCATAGAAGTAAGTGCTGTTTGGAGAAAGCTCATGCAATGTCTGCAAGGTACTCGTCTTGGTCGCAGAAAACAGAAGAGTTTGTCGCGTTTTGGGCAAGCATTTAAATATCACCTTTAATTCCTCTTCAAAACCAACATCCAAAATTCTATCCGCCTCATCCAAAACAAGGAACTGAAAGAATCATACAATCCATAGTTAGACATAAAGTAGTAAAGACAGTAAACATAACCTAATAACATTCAATCTAGAATAGTATGTATTAGTTTCATGATTTGATCTTCAAGAATCAAACTCAGGTTCAGAAGAGAAGATATGAAATAACCATTTCTTATCATAATTTTATAACTCAATTCTCGATATCTCGTGTAACATTTATATTAAATTAACCCAAGATTACCATACATTCAAGAGCTAGCTATTCATAAATCAGCATCGATATGTTATGTGTCAAGTCAAAATTAAGTCTGCATTTTCTACTTGTTGCTGAGAAAAGAGAGCCAAATTGTTTACATAAGGAAATGTAAGTTGTAATTCTTCTACTTCACAGCTAATTCCACTGAGAAACATAAACCACATTACCAAAAACTCCAACTTGGAACAAAAAAAAATCAAACCTTTGTCTTCGAAAACACGGCCGCAATGTCTGGATCCTCCTCCATCAAAACCCTAATCCTCCCTGGCGTCGCAACCACAACGTGCGGCCGCTCCCCCAATGCCTTAGCCTGCGCCGTCATACCCATTCCCCCAACCACCAAACAGCACCTCACATTCAAGCTCGCCCCAAAAGCCCTAAACTGCTCGATCAACTGAACAGCGAGCTCCCTCGATGGCGTAACCACGAGGGCGAAAACGCCGTAGGGGTCCTGAGCGAGGCGATGAAGGATCGGCAGCGCGAAGGCGGCGGTCTTTCCGGAGCCGGTGCGGGCGATGGCAAGGACATCCTCGCCGGCGAGGATGTGGGGGAGGCAGCGCCGCTGGACCGCGGTGGGGCGGCGGATTCCGAGGGTGGAGCAGGTGGAGATGGCCCAGTCGGAGAGGCCGAGGTCAGAGAAGGAGAGGGTGGACGCTGGGTCGGAGTCGCCGTGGTCGGTGGAGGAGGTTCTAGGGTTAGGAGGGTTTAATGGTGGAGGGAGGAATTTTTTTCGGGTGAAGCTTAATATATGATGTTCGTATTTGAAGGGAAAAATTCTGAAAATATACCACATTTGCTAAATATTTAGCAAAATCGACCATTTTGCTAAATATTTAGCAAAATCGATCTCTTTTTGACATGGCCAAAAAGATGTCGATTTTCAAAAAAGTGGCGTGAAAACATATGGGACTACTAGTCCCGTATGTTTTCAACACACTAATTACAGATTAGAAAACATACGGGACTATTAGTCCCGTATGTTTTCTGTCATGACAAAAATGTACGGGACTACTAGTCCCGTACATTTTGCAGAGCCAATTTCCCTTGCAACTAAATATACGGGACTAGTAGCCCCGCACAATTTACAGAGGTAATTTGCCTCGGCCATCAAACATACGGGACTAGTAGTCCCGTATATTTTGCAGAGGCAACTTGCCTCTGCCCAGCAAACATACGGGACTAGTAGTCCCGTATATTTTGCAGAGGCAATTTGCCTCTGCCCAGCAAACATACGGGACTAGTAGTCCCGTATTTTTGCTGGGCTGAGGCAAAACATGCACAAAACATGCATGACCCTCTAGCTGAGCATACAACCAAAATTTTTACCAAAATTTTCGCCACAATATATCATCTAACATTGTATACATTGATAAAAGTTATAAAATTAGAACATTATAACACAAATCTAAATTAGGACTCGTCTCAACTAACTCAGCTTGTGAGTTATTTACCCACTCGTCATTTTCAAACTCTTCGGGTAACGGTTCTTCAGACTCTACATAATTGTTGTTCACGCAATATGCATTCATCCAACTTGCATCATCATTGTTCTCTCCAGTTGCGAACTGCATACTATCAAGACGTTCCTCCTCGGACTCAACATCTTCACTATCATCATCAGCATCTACATATTCGTCCTCTTCTTTTATAGAACCACCAACCGGTAAATCAACTGAAATATCATCATACACGTTGTGAAACATGTAACTTGACGTTGCACCTGCGTCATTTTTTAAGTGCAAGGCACTTTGAGATAACGAGATTTGACTTTCAAGCATGCGAGAGAACTCTCCGTGAGCATACAAAACTTCGACAACCCTAGACTTTGGAATATTTTCAATGAACAACTCAATTGCGATTTGTTTATCCGCAAGTTGTATCATATCATTCAATTCTTCATCAGTGGTGATCTCTACCGCAATTGTTCTTTTTTCATTTATTGGACAATTACAAAAGATCTTAATGGCATTTTCGGCATGATTAATTCTGGTAACTCTGTATATTTGCTCCATCATTCCATCGAAATTGCAATTTCTAGACAACATGAACATTTTCCTAGAGCCTCCATCATATATAGGCAAATTATTCATTCCAACACTCAATTTCCCATTGAATAAGCAAATAATCGGAATTCCATTCGCCATTTTAACTGAAGAATTAAAATTTAACGTATACAAATTAGATATTTTACAAATTGATGATCATAATTCATTATTTCCTCTAGATATACCTCTAAATATACATATTAACTAAACGAAATTGGAGAAATTTATGAAAAAAAATTGAAATTGTTACCTTGTCGAAATCGGATTTCGTTGGCATCGGAGATCAAGTTCGACGTCAGATTTGAGGGAGGAGGGGGTGAGTTGGCTTTGGGAGAGAGAGATTGGGTTTGGGAGAGAGAGAGAGATTGGGTTTGGGAGAGATGGAGATTGGTTTGGGAGAGATGGAGATTGGGTTTGGGTGTGGAAATCGGGTTTGGGAGAGATGGAGATTTGGGTTTGGGTGTGAAAATCGGGTTTGGGAGAGATTTCAATGGGTTTGGGAGGGAGTGAGATGGGTTTAGAGATTTCAATGGGTTTGGGAGGGAGTGAGATGGGTTTGGGAGTGAAGGTGAAGAGATTTTAGGGTTTAGGAGTGAAGGTGGAGAGAGAAGTTAGATTTTAAGGGAATAGCGGAATTTAGGGCGGAGAGCTGTTTATTTCGACATTTATACGGGACTAGTAGTCCCATATAGATGGGTCGGGTGGCTCTGCAAAATGTACGGGACTAGTAGTCCCGTATATTTTCGTGAGCCACCAAAACCATGACAGAAAACATACGGGACTAGTAGTCCCGTATGTTTTCTAATCTGTAATTAGTGTGTTGAAAACATACGGGACTAGTAGTCCCGTATGTTTTCAGGCCACTTTTTTGAAAATCGACCTCTTTTTGGCCTGTTGGCCAAAAAGAGGTCGATTTTGCTAAATATTTAGCAAAATGATCGATTTTGCTAAATATTTAGCAAATGTGGTCTATTTTCAGAATTTTTCCTATTTGAAGGGGGTACCCAATAGTTTTACTGTAACTTTGTTGGGTTATTTAGACATTAGCCCCTTAAATATTTGAAATTGCTCATGTTTTCTTTCAAATTGTAAAGGGCTTTTGGGGGACTAGAAATATGGACAAAAAATTATGTTTACTTCTAAAAGTTGTTCCATTTTAACTTGTTTATATGTTAATAATTTTGTTGGGGTTTTTAAACACTTATTCCCCTCTATCTTATTAGCAAATTTACCCTTGTAAACGAGAGAGGGTCAGTTTTACTTTAGGATATATATTTCTTGTGTGTTTTGGTTAAATGATCGAATTGTTAATATGACCAACCTATCCTATTAAAGTAAAATTAGTTTGTAAATAGAAAAGGAGCCAAATCTTGATGAAGGTACATCACCATCAAGATGGAGCAGGTTGGTCAATGTTAGGCCTTTGAAGAGAGGCTGATATAGAGAGGGAAAGGAGGGTTAGAGCAAGTGCATCAAGCTCCCGGTTGAGAGTCCTAGTCAGCAAACTCTCAAGAGCTCTCAAGCATTTTGAAATAAAAAATTATAAAAATATGCCTTGGGAGCACCTCCTTATTTTATGGAGCTCTAACAAGCTCCTAGTTAGGAGCTTCAACAATATCAAAAAACCCCTCTTCTATCAAAAAAACCTCACTTCTATTGCAAAGACACAAAGGCCAAAGACTTTTTCGTAAAAAAAATATTTCTTTAAGGCTTGGGTTTAAAAGTAAGGGGGGTTTTGTAAATAAAAAAAAATTAATGCTTGGGAGCCCCCAAGCGCTCCACAAATTTGTGGAGCGCTTGGGAGCTCCCAAGAGCTCCGGTGGGCCCCACTGGCCACATCAGCCCAGGGAGCCCCTTGGGAGCTTGCTGAGAGTTTGTTGGAGGGGGGGTTTAAGAGCTCCCACCGTTACGTAGGCCTTGAGAGCGGCGGTGGGAGCTTGGTGCACTTGCTCTTAGAGCACTAGCATCGTTCATCAATGGAGTCGTTGTCCATCTTTATCTTTTGGAATGAAAGAAAGAGAAATATCTTTAATAGTTTATCTCCTAATTTTTGAATTGACAGCGCTAAATGAGATGGGGTTTTTTAATTCCAATCTTAATGAACATAGAGATAAATTAGCAAATAGTCAAATTTGAAAGTATCGTATGTGGGCATGATAAATGTGTGGGGGGTAGCGGGGTATATAGGTAAAAATTCCTATTATATTTTCTTTTTTGAGAAATCCCAATATGATAAGTTGAAACAAAATTAAGAACTTTCACAAAGCCTAAATATAATATATTTTAATGATTAATATATTATATTTGTTGAATTTTTTGGTCAAAAAATAGCTTTCCAAAATGAGTTTTCAAACTATATATATATATTAACTACAAGTACTTTTCATAAATGCTTTGTAGCCTAGTGGAAAGTTAAAGTTTTGGTATTTCAAAATGTCCCTTATTCGAGGCTTGCCAACGACAAGCCGAGAAGTGTTTTATTTGAATTAATCCCTCAAAAGTTCTAGTGGGTCGTGGGTCGTGGGTCGTGGGCCGTGGGCCGTGGATCGGGGCTAATCGGGCTGAGGCGCTAAGTGGCGCTTTGTTAGGCGCACTTTGCACTTCGCACGGATGCATCGAGGCGAGGTCTGTTTGACGATGTTCGTTCGTTCGACGAGGTTCGTTCGTTCGACGAGGTTCGTTTGTTGACGAGATTCGTCTGTCATACGAGGTTCGCTCGATCGACGAGGTTCGTATGTCATGTGAGGTTCGCCTGCTTGACTATGTCCGCTCATTCGACCAGGTTCGTCTGTCATACGAGGTTCGCCTGTTTGACGACGTTCGTTTGTTAAACGAGGTTCGTCTGATTTGTTGAGACGTGACCCTCGCGTTTCGTAGCAACGCGTCCATTGATTGCCTCGTATTCAGGAGTTAATGCATGCAGCAGTTACAACAGCATTAGGAGCAATTTAATGCATTGATGTTACAATCTTAATTGTCATTAAGAATTGTAACGGTCACATTAATTGCTAGTGACTCTTGAGCTGGCCTTAGAGGCCTATAAATAGCGCCCTTGGGCAGCTCTTGGTTGCTGCTGGAAATCCTCTCGCGAGCGTGGAACACGAACGTCGAGAGCTGAAAATCCTCTCGCGAGCGTGGAACACGAACGTCATGTGCTGGAATACGAACGTCGACTTCAACGTTGTTGCTGTTGTGCTGCTGCTGTAGGAACTTGTGCCCACAGGAACTTGTCTTAAACCGAAAGGTTTTGAACCGAAAGGTTATGAGATCGAGGAGATCTTTTGTCTAGACTGAAAGGTCTTATAGATCGAGGAGATCTTGACAATACTGGGTTAGTGCACACCAGAGTATTGCACTGCTATTTCTGGAAGCAGTTTGGCCTTGGGATCCTTACACCGGAGTAGGCCAAATATTGCTTTAAGCATAGCGTTTCTATAACGCACAGCAGTTAACTGAAAAAGTTTAAAAATACAGCACATCTAATTCATTGTTTCATTTCAGATTTAATCTTAATTTCCAACAATCTTAAAGTAATATTTCTGATCTACTAATGGATTCTGCGAAGACTCTTGGAGTGGACTGTCTCAAGTTAGAAAACTTTGATGGATCTAATTTTAACGCATGGCGTCGAAAAGTGATTTTTAGGATGTAACTCCTAAAAATCTACTATGTTGTTTCTAAGGAGAAACCCGACTTTGAAGAAGACTCAGAGTCTGAAGCCTCTTGGAAAAAAGATGATCATTTCTGCATGAGTTATCTCCTTAATTGTCTGGCTGATCATCTAGCAGATGCTTACACCAACAAGCCATCTGCAAAGGAAATCTGAAATGCTCTAGAGGAGCAATACAAGGATGAGGAGAAGCTTTTAAAGTCTCACCTCATTGACAAATTTCTGGACTTCAAGTTTGAAGATGACACTGAGGTTTTGCCTCAAGTTGACTTCAAGTTTGAAGATGACACTGAGGTTTTGCCTCAAGTTAAAGAACTCGAAAAGCTTGTTATGAAGTTGAAGGATGAAAAGATCAGTCTTTGTCAAACCTTCATTTCTGGTGCAATTGTTAACAAGCTTCCTTCATCTTGGATGTCGTTCTCCACGGATATCCGAAGAAGGAAAAGACAAGTGACTTTATCTGATTTGAAGAGGTTCATTCAGATCGAGGACGAGATTCGGACTCGCACAAAGAATGAGCTCCTAGCTAAGCAGAAGGCGTCTGCTAACATGGTGGCTACTAACTCTGAGAAGGGTACTAGTTCTTCTAAGAAAAAGAAATATTTTAACAAAAAGAAGAATCATAATCCGAAGAACCTGAATGTACATAAGAAAGATTTCAAGAAGAGCGGCGAATGGTTCAATTGTGGGAAGCAAGAGCATTTTGCCAATGACTGCAAAGCACCAAAGAAGGGAACAGCACACAATGTTAATCAAATTGATAATTGTGTGGCTATGCTCTTTCAGGTGACAACTCCCAGCAAGGTCTCTGGTTGGTGGTTAGATACAGGTGCCACCTGTCATGTCTGTTCCAACAGAGATTTGTTCACTTCCTATGTTGCTGCCAAAGAGAATGTATCAATGGCTGATCGTTCTGTGGTTTCTGTTCTTAGAACTGGGACTGTGGTACTGACTCTTTCTTCAGGGAAGACTCTCACATTGAAGGATGTGAAACATGTCTCCTTAATTGCTAAAAACTTAGTCTCTGGAAGCCTGCTATGTGACGCTGGTATGAGGCTGGATTTTCAAGGAGGAATGACTGTGTTATCTTTTAAGAAAATGTATTTTGGTAATGCATATCGTACTGATGACATGTATAAGATCAGTACTATTATACCCAACTCAGTTGTAAATGAAGTATCCTCTTCTGCTTACTCCTATGTATTATGGCATAATAGGCTAGGACATGTAAATTATAGAAAGCTATCTAGCATGAAGAAGTTAGGATTACTTCCGAAATGTAGGGGTAACAAACCTGATAAGTGTGAAGTATGTGCGCAAGCGAAGCTGACAAGGAAATTATTTCTCAGTGTCATAAGGAGCACCAACCTATTGGATCTGATTCACTCAGATACTTATGATTTCAAGAGCTTCGTCACTCGAGGCAGCA